AAAAGGGTGAGGGGGAGGGGGGGGGGTAATTAAGTAAAATTAGGAACAAACACAAGAAGCAAACAAATGCACTGTCATCATTATGCACCACGGGCACTTGAGAAAGCAAGACGATAATTTGGTTGCTTGAAAGAAAGTCTGTCACAACTCGCAACATTCGAGAGCAATCCAATTAGCAGCAAAGCGAATAGCATCTGTTGTGGCAGACGAGATGTTGAAAAGCAGGACAGCTGATGGAGAAGAGATGAGCTGAAGGACAGAGGTCTCTTGCTTTCTTCAGATAAAAGCGTGATGTCACCAAACTGCCCCATTGCACAAAACATATTATAAAGCAACATTTTTCCAGGGGAGAGAACAACACTGTTCAATTATTTTTAAAAATTGTACCTACATTTATCATGTTTTAATGCTTTTCTTCAATATTTAGAATATGAATTTCAGAAAAAAATTGTCTTGAGCACATGATACGGATACTTCACATTACAGGGGAAAAAAACTGCATTAAAAAAGTTCAAAAGTTCGCGTTTCGTGCAATCTGAACAGCTGGCCAATGAAATATCATCAGTTGTAGCAGACGAGATGTTGAAAAACAGGACAGAATCATCCTGAAGGAAAGCAGTCCCTAGCCTCCTTTCAGTAACGGCATTTACAACTCTTTAAATGTGTTTTTTTAAGCCCCCAGCTACACAATTTCGAACATATAGGACGTAGGCTTCGACCTGCCTTTTAAGGCCAATCCAGCCTGAGAAGGACACAACATCCTGGCAGAAAGACCAAGACACTGGACAAAAATTCACCTCACTCAGAAATCAAACTAGGGTCTCCTGCGTGCGACAGTTAAGCACCCAAGCGCTGCACCACAGACGCGAGTGGCTAAAAGTGAGGAGGAATTCTTCCACACAGAGCTACAGGGAGAGAGACAGAACCCAGACTAAAAGACATTTCCCAAACACGCTTTTTCAGTTTCTGTTTGGTAAAAGTTTTATGATGCTCGCAGCTACATAATATATTTAAGGTCATATGAGCTCGCAGGACACACGTTGGTTGTACTTTTTAGTTCACGGCACTTCCTGTCGGCAACAGACCAAAGGTAATGTTGTGGTACTGTTTGAACACAAATCAGAAACAGGAATTTGTATATTATGTCATAGTATTTAGCATTTATGTTGTTGCCTGTCTTTTTAAGTGTCGGGTAAAGAAAACAGAATTGAAAAATCTGAACATAAAAAAGAAGTTATTTATTGTTCTTCTTTAAAATGCCCCTTTACAGCGTGTCTTTCGAACGTTGACGAATGACCAGTTTAAAATATTAAAAAAACCGACCCCCCCCCCTCCAAGAAAAAAACCCAAACACATCCGGAGATGGGCACACAGCAGTGGCAAACAGCCTATAGTAAAGACTCAAAGTTGAAAGCAGAGAGAAATGGATCATCACAAGAAACAGGAGTTAAAGGGAAGACAATACCCTCTGTAAATACAACACCTGGAAGTGAGGACAATAAATTATAAGGAACATCCAACAGACCGTCCTTGAATAGACAGCATCGGGTCATCAAATCAAACATGGTCATTATCTTCAGGAATTTATCCATAGACCAGTAGTAGGTACTTATAGACAAGGGGAGAAAAACGATAAAACACACAACTCTACCCAAAACCATTGCAACAGAAAAGAAAGAAAAAAAAGAAAGAAAAAACGCTAATGATTAAGACACAGATTCGTGGCCGAGCACTTAAATAATAGGATAGTATGAGTGGATGATCTGTTGATTTAAAAAATCGAACCAATGCTGAACACTTCGAGCTCAGTAAATGATAAAGGTGGAGAGAGGGGTATCAATAAATTTAAATCTAAAGAAAAAAATAAAACACAAAAGAACCACAGCCACAGATCCTCAACACGAGACCCACCACAATGAAAAGAGAACATTGCTTCGAGTAGCACAATAGGACAGGCCATCTTGCCCTTTAAGCGGAGCATAATATTTTATATATTTGACAGGCTGTACTGAGATACATGTTACTGACTCGTAGCAGGTATTTTTCTGAACTGACACTTATTATTACCTGACACACTATTATCATCATCATCATCACCATCATTATTATTATTGTACGGTTCTTTACGTCTATGCACATGGTCAATTTAGCTTAAGATAGTCTCAAAGTTGTTTTCATGCAGCTTCTTTCAAGATTATTATGACTATTATGGTAGGGAAATGAACCTGAGTCTCCTGCATGCAACGGCAGAGAACCTTACCGCTATACCACAGACCCCAGCAAGATAAGACGGAATACCTTGAAAGAGCAAGCTCAAACGGAGAGATTTCTCAGCGATTGTATTATTGTAAAGCACATTGAGCATTTTCTGGATGGAAATACGCTGCATAATTAAAATTCATTGTCATTATTATTATCATTATCATTCTCATGATTATGATTATTATTACTGTTAACATGAGCCATTTTAATATACCGACTGTAAAGCCCATAGAGCTTGCTGTTGAGTGGAAATATGATATACAAATGTTACTTATTGTTATTGTTATAATCAATTTCATTATTGTTTTTATCAACACAAGACATTAAAAAGTATAACATACAGATTGTAAATCCCATGGAGCTTGCTGTTGAGCGGGGGTAGGCCTATACAAATGCTATTCTTTATTATATTAATACTATTATTATCATCAGTATTATTATTATTGCTATTATCAAAAGTCCTGGATGCTTACCGTGGTCTCATCACATCGGCAGCTATCGTGGTGTGGGTGAACTCCTCTTTGCTGTCCAGGTACGGGTAACCGTTCAGCGCAATGTGGGCGTCGTAGCTAGACCGCAGGGTCAAGGTCAACTACAGACACAGTGATTTTCCCTCTTCATGAGGTTGAAATATTGTTTCCCCCCCCCCTTCTTCATTGAACATTTCATGTTTTTAGTTTTTAGTAAACTTTTAGTAGGACTTCAGTTTTTTAAGCACTTGCAACACAAATAGCTCAAATAAGTGTTGAAGAATCGAGGTGTTACTAGAAAGTACCGTATAAAAATTTTTAAAAAGAAGAGAGATAAGACAGAAACAGAAAAAGGAAAAGAGAAAAAAACACCACCTACCACCACGGGGGCACTCTCCAACCACCCATGGCAAAGATAACTCACTTTCCTAACAAGACGGCTAACAAAAGTTAATAAGAAAAAACATTTATAAAAAGGACTGCATAGTGTGAAACTCTGCAATACGCCATTTTGAAAAGTGAAGCTTGCCGGAATCGTACAATGAGCAGCTGAAAAAAACTAGGTCAAGGATACATGCCCTCTCTGCCCAAAGCGTCACCGACCCACTTGCTGGTCATGGCGGCCGCCATCATGGGAACGATGTACTCCAGGCCACCGGTCAGCTCAAACATGATGACCACCAGAGAAACTGGACGCCAGACAAATACAGAAAAACATACTGACCCATCCATTAAAGAAAAACATTTTTTTAAAAGAAAAAATATCAGTGTTTTTACCCTGCAATCAAAGTCGGAATTAGACCCAAAAAACTTAATAGGGGGTTAACCAAGAGAACCTTTGTTGGTCTGGTAATCAGTAAAACATGTTTATTTACCTCTTTCAGTACGCAAGGGATTCCACAATTCTACATATCCAACTGGAGGCCTGTCAGAGCCAACCCTAGTTGAGAGGGATACATTGTGCCAGCAGAAAGATTTAGCTTAGTAAAAGTTTAGTTTTAGTAGAGGTTTTACGGCACTCGCAACTGCATAGGTCATATGAGCGCCAAAAGATTAGAGGTGTTACAAGAGAGTAACAAATATAAAAAAGAAGAAGGGAAGATAAAGATGATAGAATATTTGATAGGAAAGAAGGAGCAAAACCACACCAGAGCACCTGCCAACCGCCCGCGAGCTTAGTAAGAGTTTTCCAGCACTCACAACTACATAAGGTCATGTGAGCGCACTCCAGCAGGAAGACCAAGACACCCAATAAAAATTTCCCCCCCACTCAGGAATCAATCCCGGATCTTCTACATTGAAAGCTGCAATCACAGTTGGAATTAGACCCCAAAAAACCCAGTAGAGGCCAACTAAGGTAGCAACCTCTGTTGGTCTCATAATCAGTCAAATATTTTATTTAAATCTTCCAGTCTGCAAGGAATTCCACAACTTTACGTACCCAAATTGAGGTCACGAAGCGTGTTACCTTAAAATGGTTATAATTCAGTCAAATTTGATACCTTCAAGTCACTGACTAAAAAGCGTCAAACAGAATAAAAAAAACTAATGTGATATCTTAAAGACCATATCTAAATAGTGTCGAAAAGAACATAAAAGTAAACCCATGAACAAGCTCCTCAATTACGTGAAATTTTCAAGAGCCTGACTAAATAATGTCAAAAAGCACATAAAACTAAACCTTAAACAAACCTCTCAACTATGTGAAATCTTCAAGACCAATGTCTAAATACTGTCATAAACAACCTAAAAACAAGACCCTCCACTGACCGGTCATCCTGGTAACCCCGCCTAGAGCGGCGGCCGCCCCGACCATGGCGTACAGGCCTGGTGTGATGATGCACTTGTCCGGGGCCTCGCACATGTTGGAGAAAAACACGCTGTCTGGGTTGGATCTGTTCGAAGGAGGGGGAAGGGGGAGGGAGGGAAAAATCAAATTATAATCAGACCTGCTACTCTATAAAATCTAAAAATCCGGATATAAGAGAAAAAAATCTGGATTTGGAGAGAAAAATCCGGATAAACAGCAAATCAGCCGAAAGGGGCATTGGGTGGGGCCTGGGGGTGTCCCTTTTTGTGAGGCATTTCAGTCTGCATTAATTCATTTCCATTTTTCCGTCACCATATAGGTCTATATTAGAAAAAAAAGAAAAACACTAGTGAACGAGCCAAATAAATTATAGTCAACTGTCAAAACCATGTCTGCATAGAGAAAGCATTTGCAGGAATAAGTCCATATTTGGGCCTAAAAATAGAGAAAAAAACCTGAAAGAGAGCATGTACTCGAGTTGGAGTTTGAAAACCTGGGGGAGCGCAGGTTATAGTGATGCTGAAACTCTCAGTCTTGAAAATAGCTTGCACATAACTTTAATCACTCCTGCAATAAGAGCGCATTTTCATGTAACATTGTTTGACTTTGATCATATACACTCAAGGCATCCCCCATCACACCATTCTGCACAGATATCACCACCAATCCAATCTAAAATGTGATTCCAAGTTTGATTATTTATTTCTTTATTTAATTTTAAAAAAAATTGCTTTTATACATTTTTAATTGGGGGGGGGTGGCATTTTGTTTCTTTATCCTGAATAAGCAGGCCCAAAATGTATCACGTCTAGCACTTCAAATCCAAGTATCAAAAAATACTGTGAAGTGCCAAACCGCAAAACCAAAGAAACGTGTAGATGCTTCGAAACATTGTAAACTAGAAAGACTATATATTCAGAATACAGAAAGGCAAGAATAGCAGATCATTAGTAGCATCTCTTTGCGGGAATAAGCAGAGTAGAAGGAGGAGGATGTAAGTGGGAGGAGGAAGAGGACATAAGGAGGAGAAGGAAGAAGCTGAGTACAACAGGCATGAACTAAGCCTATGAAATCATTACTCACACGATCAGCTGTTCGAAACCAATGCCCATCATACGTCCCACAATGGCTCCCACTGCCATGCTGGGAATGAACAAACCGGCCGGAATCTGGGGACGAAAAAAAACAAGCACAATGATATTCGTTTTTAGTTGAGTTTAGTAAGAGTTTTAGGTCGTATGAGCCCACGAAACACAAGTTGGTTGTATGTACAACTGTTGAAACCACAGCTTGATTTTGGTCTATATTCAGACTAAAACCCTAAAAATTCATGGTAAAATGTTAGCTTTTAAAAATGACCTTTTAAAAAATCTTAAAACAACGGCATAATACAGTCTGTTGTAAAGGCCAATGGTCATTACAAAATCAAGAACTCTGTTGGGATCAACGATGGAGAACAGATCTTACATTTTCTTGCATTTAAAATACTTCCTTTGAGTCTCTCGAAAGTCTGGACATTTCCCAATGATATTCAACAGAGAACAATGAGGAAGGGTTCAAAGCTGGTGTGGGCATGTGTGTCCAAGTCGCGGGCTGGACTAAACCGTTCTAAATTTCTCACAGATGACCATCGGGATAAGAGCCAGAGCACCTACTAGCTACCATCCACCCACTATTATCATTACTATCGATTATCATCCACCCACTCACCCAATGTGAAGCTGGTGACTAAAAGATAAGCACCAGAGCACTTACCAACCACCCACTATTATTATTACTATTGATTCTCACTCGCTCACTCACCCACTCACCTTGATGCTAAATATGAAGATAGTGATGACCATCATGAAGATAACAGCCAGAGCAAGCTTCCAACCACCCACTATTATTATCATTATAACTATTACTATCGATTATCACACACTCACCTTAATGCCGAATGTGAAAATGGTGATGACCATCTTAAAGATGAGCGCCAGAGCGAGCTTCCACAGAGCACTGTGCACGTCGTTGCCCGCCACGGCCGAGTACTTGAACGTGTCCGTCATGTTGAGGTTCCTCCCATAGTCACTGCGGAGGAGAAAGGATCAGGACAAACTTAGCTCAAGGTGGAAGACGGATTTTCCTTTGTTCTTGTTAATTTTTAGAGCTTTACGATTATTATTATTATTATCAAGAAGAAGAAGGAGGAGGAGG